TGTTAAGAGAGGTGTGTGTGAACTAACAATCATACTTCTGTAGAAGCACAAGAAACAATACACAGATGTGACATTCACAAATCGGCAGAGCGCCTCTGCCAGATAAGGAAGTGACCAAGGCGGAGCAGGGAGGACATGATCCAAGAGGTGCTTCAATCCTCAGAAGCCATAAAAAGAGAACGCAGGGAGTGGAGAGAGACCCTGAAGGAAAAATTTTAAATGGAAAGGCAGGACAGAAAGGAGAGTGAGGAGTGCATTGTAAAGGACCAGGAGCGGATGATAAAAGTGATGGAGGAGCAAACAGAGATGTTGAAGTCCCTAATCACTCTCCAGGCAGAACACATGCATGCTTCCCTCCCACCTCAGCCGATACAGAACTGCTTTCCATGTCCTCCCCAAACTCCTCCCTTGCAACTTCCTGGAACATCTCAGTACCCCGTTCATGCCACCCCTATCGGTCAGCTTCCAAAATGATAGCTGGACTTACACACAGCTATGAAAGTCTGTACTGCCCTTCATTGTTATCTGCCTTCCCACCAAGCCTTTCATGTGTGTTGTTAATTGGTATTTAATAAAAACAAACTCTCTGAAAGATAACCAATCTTTATTTGTGTCCGACATGTGGTGGTTGCTGTTGGTAATAATACATAGTGGTGATCATTTGCTGACTACAAATCCCAGTCAGGAATCATCACAATTTTCATGCAAGTCAGCAAGTTAACAAAGCATGGCAGAGTGCTGTATAGAAAGACTTACATTACTAGGGCTCATTATCAAAATATTGCCTCAAAACCTCCCTGATTCGAATAGCCCCCAGTTGTGCCCCTCTAATAGCGCTGGTATCTGTCTGCTCCATTCCGGGGGAAATTTTTCACCCTTAGCCTCACAAATATTATGGACCATCAGCAGGCTGCTATGACCATGGGAATGTTTTCCTCGTTTTGGTATAACCTGCCATAAAGGCAGCACGAGTGTACTTTTTAGTCTGACAAAGGCGCATTCCACGGTCCGCTGTGTTCAGCTGCTCCGTGAATGCCAGAAGTAATCTGGTGGTGGTTCTTTCCATGACACACAGCAGGTCAGGCAATTCTGATTCCTGTTCAGATTGGGTGCTTATGATATACTGCATGACCATCTTCAGTGTATTCATAACAGTGACCACAACAGTAGAGAGTGGTGCGGGATCCATCCTTTCACACAAAGATGGCGGGTGCACAATAAACGGGCCATTGAAAAATGCCGCAAAATGCAGTCGGAAGCCCATGAATGCTGGGACAGAAAGAACTGCATCATGAGACGATCCACTCCGCCGTCCCACAAATCCTAGCTGCAAAAGGTGTCAAGTAGGACCGTGCACTGCTCTCCTTGTCGATGCTGCAGTACCAAGTGTGGATGCACTCTGCTGACAGAAGGAGCATAGTGTGAACATACACAAGCAATTTAATTATACCCATTTTGATTGTCGGCTTAACTTGCGTCGACAAAACTCTGTAGTGCAGACAAGGCCCGAGATGGTCTCTCTGTGAAACTTGAAAGCTTGTCCCTTCCACCAACAGAAGTTGGTCCAATAAAAGATATTACCTCATCCACCATATCTTTTTTAGGTATCATGGTAGATGACCAAAGGAACATAAACTCTAGTGTAATACCATAGCTCATGATCCTTGGAAGGATCCTTGGAGAAATATAGAGTAGAAGTAGGGAGGTGATATTGCCTGTAGCGTTGATGAGACCACTACTGAAATACTATATCCACTTCTGGTGTCCACACTTAAAAAGGATGTTGGGAAAAGTTTAAAAGGATTCAGGGAAGAGCTACAAGAATTATTTGAGGTCTGGAAAATACATCTTACAATGAGAAGCTAAAGGACCTCAGTCTATAGTTTATTGAAGAGAAGCTTAAACATGACTTGATCATGGTCTCAAAGTACCTACAAGGAGAAAATATCTGGATTCTTTAATCTAGCAGACAAAGGTATTTTAAAAAAAAAAATCTAGTGACTAGAAAGCTGAAGTTAGCTTAAAAAAAAAACCTGGAAATTCAGCACAGATTTTTCAGTGAGGGCAATGAACCATTGGAACATCTTATCAAGGGATGTGGTAGATTATCTATCCCTTGAAGTCCTTAATTGTAATTTTCAACTGATTTTAGTTCAACCACAGGTAATTAGGCTTGATATGTGAATTAGCGTTTGGAGTTCTACTGCCTGTGTTATGTAGGAGGTCAAACTAGATCAGTATCATGGTCCATTTTTAAAGACTGCTCAAGACAGTCTGCCGACCTAGGCAAAAGTTCAGTCTGCCATCCCCCTCCTATTCCCAGAACAGAAGTTCTCAACTGGGGTAGGGGGGCGTGCAGTGAGCCCAGACGCACCTCCATCGTGACGGAGGGACAGCTAGGCCAAATTTGAGTTAATGGCATTGTAACCTGACATGCGGTGTTGCAGTGCCATTCAGGTTGGCCCTGGTTTCCCTAGGCAGAATATGCTGCCCTAGGCAGCTGCCTAGTTTGTTTATAACTTATCCATTCTGGTATTAAAATCTGTGAAATTGAAACATCTAGTCTGGGTAAATGGTCCCTTAAAGGGTTAAGATGTTTCGTTAGTTGTTCATGGAGTCAATGTTAAAACAGCTGTTAAATGAACCAAAACATATAAAAAGTACATAATTTACTGTAAGACAACATTGAATCTAATTTATAGTGTTTTTAATGGGATTTAAATTTTCTCAGTCCTGATCTGCTTTAGGAAACTGTCAAAATGGCAGCTTCATACTTTGCTTCTTTTTTTGTACTTTATATACTGTAAAAGTATATAGTGAAATGTACGGCTTAAAATCTTTTTATTACAATTTCCCTTTTAAGAAACTTGAGTGTCCTAGCTTCTTACAGCAAATAGAGCATTGAGAGTACTTCACTAAAACTTTACATTGTGGTCTGAATTTTTTGTTCTAATTTTCAGTATGTCATTAAACACTTATTACTTACTTTTAGAACAAGAAAGCCAACTGCTACAGTTTGACTCCTCTACAAAAAAGTGTAGTTAGAAAATCCTGATGCATGGGAAAGTATTCCACTGAATATGTTTCTACTCTGTAGCTTTTAGATCATCATATAGGCCTGATGGCTTATAAATCCTTAACTATGTGAGATGTTAATGGGTATTGCAATATATATGTATAAAATTATACCTTATTAATGTAATTTTTAAGGACTTTGTTTCTAGGTGTTTCTTGCAGCAAAATATTACCATTAGTAAGACTGATTTGACAATATTGAAAATGGATTCTAATACAGTGAACAGTGATGTAAATGATTAGTTACCTAGTGAGCCTGCTCACTTTACAGCCAGGCTTCCACCTATTCTGGGACTTGCATTAGCACTTCATGTTTCATTTAATAGCTTAGTCCTTAAGAGGCTCATAAATTGCTGATAAACAGTACTGGCAGACTATTTCACTTCATACTTTACACTATTAATAACAAGGATCACATTTGAATAATATGCTGTGGAAATGTAAATAGAAGGAAGTCTCCAGAGCCTATTGTTAACTTACTATGTTTAATTATTACAGCACTTGCTGCTATACTTTATTGCTTTGTGGAGGTTCAGAACATTATGTTCAAGGATATAATTTATTATAATCTGCTACATTGGATTCAGAGCGTTGGTAGGTGTTTGTACTCTAGATAGATGTGCGTTCTGTTTAGTGTAAGTGTAACAGTATGTACTTATCAGTAAATGAGGCAACTGCTGCCAACATTTTAATAAGCTAATTGGGCTTTCAGATTTTTAAATGTTAAAATGTTCTTATGGTCAGCCCATACACCTTGGTTTTTAATAGCAATGGGCCTATTACGACAGGACCAAATTTGAGATGATAAGGCAGAACCTGTGTTTCTACAATTTATTAATTTTGTGTGTGTATTTCACTGATTTTAATAGCCTGTTAGGAGTGATGTAGTAACACTGAGTAGGCGTAGCTGTTTTTGTAAGCAAACAGTAATTTAATTGTCTTCAAATATAATTAAACCCGGTGAAATTATAAAAAAGATAGTAGCATTGTGAATTTGTGGATAATTAGTTGAAATTGATTTGGCTTGTACTTTTGGTAACTTAGTTACAAAAGAGCGGTGCATGTCTCTATCGTATCTATTTTTACAAGCCAGTTTACTGATGGATTGACCAAGGCTCAAGGCAGTAAAATGAATACTGGAAGGCTACAGAACTGAGTCAGTGACTGCACACTACTGACATGATATTATTGCCTAATAACCCAACATTGCTTATAAATATCAGCAAGAGTTACAGCATTATGAAGAGTATTGTGGTAATTCAGTCTTAATACAGGGGGGCCTGGTAAATTTCCCAAGATTCAACTAGGGTAATGGATATCATGAATATAAAAATTCTTAAACTTGCATATCTCCAAGATGTTCATCCTATGCTGTAGATTATAAAGGTTTCATATGTAGCAAGGAAAGAAATGAAACACTTTGCATAAAGGTATACTTTCCCCTGTGTAAACTGACCTTAGTGTACCGATTTCATTAATGGAGAAAGCAGGTATCTCTATAATAGTTGTACTATTTATATATTTTCTATAAAATCACAGTAGCATTATTATAAATTGTTCTGGATTATATATTTATCACACATGACTATTTTTCAAAATTCAAAATCAGTTGCTGTTTTAGCTTACAACACAAGTTTGACACTGAAATTTTATTGTTTGCTGCAGTCGTGGATCACTAATTTTGTCTACCTGTGTAAAGACAGTTTTAAAATTGTAAATGAATATTGGTTATTGCTTTATATGTGACACTTTAATATACTAATTGTATTTAATGGCCTACTAAGATGAGGTGATAAAAACTTGAAAGACCTTTCTCAAGCACAGTATGGCAACGTAATCTAACTGATAAGTCCAAAGGGCAGTAATAAAAGTCAGTCATGAATGTTTGCTGTAGTAATTGATGTAGCTGATGTTTCTGCTCCTAGGTGAGAGAAATGGCTGCTACCACACTGAGTGGTCTGCTACAGTGCAACTTCCTCACTATGGATAGCCCTGTGCAGACTCACTTTGAACAGCTCTGCAAGACAAGACTACCAAAAAAGAGAAAGCGAGACCTTGGCACAGTGGTGGATACCATTCCTTCTGCAGGTAAAGACACTGTCTCAGAGAAGCAAACTCTTAATTAAAAAACTGGTTCAGTTACTTTATTTACATCATCCTTAGACAACTCAGATGGCTAGAATAGGCCCTGCAGTTAAGGAGGAATCTTCAAGCAATATACATAAAGAAACAGATCTGATGTGTATGCAAATATTTATAATACTTAAATGTTTATAAACCATCATGACAAAATATTTTTGTTTATACATTTGACTTTTTTCCTGTATGTTTGTATTGCTCCTAACACAATGGGGTCCCAATCCCAATTACGTATTTTGGGTGCTGATACAGTACAAACGTTAAATAACAATATACTACTACAGAGCAGGGTTATATGGCTAGATTAATAGGTTTTTGTGGTTTATTCTTATACCTAGGGTGTACTGCTTACCAGTCTCCATGAAAGTACATGTATTCAGAGACTCGTCAAAGAGGAAGTGGTTATTTTACCAGTAAGTGTAGTTCTTTGAGGGTTGTCTTAGCAGTCACACTCCTCATCCACCTTCACCTGTGAGGCACCGGAGAAAGGAACTAAGTTAGAGCTTGCCCTCCCTAGAACTTTCAGTGGCATTAGACTGTATTTACATGAGCCCCAATAGGAACAGTTTACCAGAAAGTTACAGAAAACTGATGTAGGCATTTTTTAGTCCACTGAGTGTAGATATGCAGAGGCAGCCCTTGAACTGGTAAATAACCTCTCCTTTTTGATTCTTCACAAGAGCCTGTAATGGATAGAAGAGGTGGACATTAAGAATTCCCCTAGTATGGATGTTAGTTGCACTTTACTGCTCATGACAACTTACGTTTAATGTGTATTTATTTTAGTACTTTTGGTAAGTTAAAAATAGCTGGAATTACTGAAAGTGAAGTTTCAAGTCTGGCTGTGTTATGGAAACATACTTTGAGAGATTTGTATCCTGCCACATGTATATTACGGTCTTTTCATTGCAGACTTGGTTAAGCGCCATGCTGGTGTGCTTGGACTTAGTGCATGTATTTTGTCAAGCCCTTATGATGTACCAACTTGGATGCCCCAGCTTCTGATGGACCTCAGTGCCCACCTTAATGATCCTCAGCCTATTGAGGTAAAAATAGTCTGATTCTATTTATTTTTTTCTGTTTAATCTAAAACATGTCTATCATCCTTACATTAGCTTCCTGAAGAAAGACACTGAAGGAATATGTGTGTCACAATGTGACATTTTTTCTTCAAAAGTTCATAACTTTGCTAAATCCAAACCTGCTTTAACTCAAAGGCACCTTATGAAAGCATGCCAATTCCTTGCCATATTTCTATTTCTGCCTCAGTCATTTCTACACTAGAGCCAAAAATAAATTAAGTAGAAAGCGGAGAGAGTTTTATTTATAATGGGGAAATTCCCTTACTCTCCTTGTACTCAAAAATGACTAACAGAGTTTTTACACAAACTAAACAAAAAAAAAAAAAAGGCAAACAAAATCATTGGGTAGACACCAGGGCCTATAAAATTGCAGCCTGATAGATGAAAGTACTGGAAACTTTTATGAGCAACTCAAAAAAGGGGCTTTGAATGGAAATACTTAAGCATCTTTGCCTGTACAGTAACTCCTCACTTAAAGTCGTCCCAGTTAACGTTGTTTCGTTGTTACGTTGCTGATCAATTAGGGAACATGCTCGTTTAAAGTTGTGCAATGCTCCCTTCTAACGTCGTTTGCCAGCCACCTGCTTTGTCCACTGCTTGCAGGAAGAGCAGCCCGTTGCAGGTAGCTGGTGGGGGCTTGTAACCAGGGTGGACCGGCAGCCCCCCTATCAGCTCCCTGCTCTCCTAAGTTCCTTGTGCTGCAGCCACCCAGCAGGCTAGCAATCGGCAGTTCAGCTGTCCCGCCCCCCACTGCCGTGTGCTGCTCCTGCCCTCTGCCTTGGAGCTCCTCCCAGAGACTCCTGCTTGCTGCGCAGGGGAGGAAGGGGGGCTAATGTCAGGGTGTCACCCTCCACCCTGCTCTACCCCCTCTCCATACAGAGCAGGGAGGGGACATGGACGGAGAGAGACAGAGAGAGCTTGGGGCAGCAGCTGCTGTCTCAACTTCCTGATCCACTTAAAAAGACAATGCATTTAAGAGTGGGTCAGCTTACTTAAAGGGGTAGTGTGCATCTCTCTCTCTCTCTCTCTCTCACTCACTCTCTCTCACACACACACACACACACACACACACGGTGTGTGTCTGTCTCTGTCTGCTGTGCTGTCTCCCCTCCCTCATGTTCGTGCTGCCTTGATGAGAGGCTACATTAACAACAATGTGTTAACCCTTGAGGGCTCAGCTGAGTGCTAGTTCATCATTTAGCAGCAAGGCATTCCCTGGGAAATATCCCACCCTCTGACTTCACCACCTCAACCAAGCTTCACAATCATCATTGCTATGTACAGTATTAAATTGTTTGTTTAAAATGTATACTGTGTGTATATCTATATAATATATAGTTTTTTGTCTGGTAAAAACAGTTTCCCTGGAACCTAACCCCCCCATTTACATTAATTCTTATGGGGAAATTGGATTCGCTTAACATCATTTGCTTAAAGTCGCATTTTTCAGGAACATAACTACAATGTTAAGTGAGGAGTTACTGTAGCTGTTGCTAGCACTCCAACTATACTGCTGTTATTAACTATAGTGTTTAAACTTTATGGAGGGGAATTTCCTGGAAAGAGCTAACCAGTTCTGCTAGGGCTGACTTTTACTGGATTACAAAAATTAAATCTGGAGAGTGTATATAATTAGTTTGCCTTTGAGGTGCACCAAATGAGATCTATTAAATAATAATAGGAGACGATCCTATTATCATTTAATATATCTCATTTGGTGCACCTCAAAGGCAAAATAACGATATCGCTGGAATAAAGATAAATATCTCTGGAATGTGACCCTAAAAGTTTGATCTCCACCCACTTTGCAAGTTGTATGTGACTGAACAAAAATTATTGTTTAAGCCTTTTACCATCTGTCTGTCCAGCACTGAAAAATCCAGTAGAGCCTGAGCCCCTACAGTAGCATCAACAAGACTGAAAATTGAGAGGAGGGAAGAAAACCATTTTGATCAAGAGTAATAAGAATGTATCATAGGGCTCCAAAGTTTGCAAAACAAAACAAAAAAACAACTAGCAAAGGTTGTTTCACCATATGTAAGAGCCTTGACAACATTGATCTAGAGATATTAGAATTTAAAACTAGTTGTAAATTCTAAAATCTTACAGATCTGGACTGGATGAATTTTTGGGGGTCCATTCCAGACTTCCCAATTGTCTAAACGTATACTAATGCTAGTTTAGGAGTGTCATCAACATATAGAACTACCTGTTCTTCTTCGAGTGGAGTCCCTGTGAGAGCTCCACTTTTAGGTGATTGTGCGCCCTGCGCCTCTAGTCAGAGAATTTCGATAGCAGTACCTGGCTGGGCCGCAGATGCACTCTCGCCGTCTTGCGTCTGCAGTGGCAATTAACTAGTGCTGTGCAGTCCTTTCACCCACCAGTTCCTTCTCAGCCGCCCTTGGTCCGAGTCGGAGCTCCAGCAGTGCGCGCTCTCGCTTTTACCTCAGATGTAGTTGAATTAGATTAGTCAAGTAGCTTAGTGTAGTTAGGTTAGTTGGTTAAGAACCCTTTATTTCTTTTTCTCCCCGTTAAAATTTTTTTTTTTAAATTTCCTTTCGTCCTCTTAAGGGACATTATTTTTCCTCAGAATGCCAGGGTCGCCTGGCTTTAAACGCTGCCTCTCTTGTCACGAGGCAATTCCACTTTCTGATGATCACTTGCAGTGTGTCTGGTGCCTGGGAAAAACTTATGTGCCCCAGAAATGCACCCATTGCCACAATCTTAAGACCCGGATAAGGAAAGTGAGGGATCTTAAACTGAAACTTATCCTAATGGAGAAGTCTCTCCGTCCCGCCTCAGACCCGGGCTCGCAAACTTCTCCTGCCTCCCTGTCACCTCAGGCAGCTTCTGACAGACCCCCCTCCTCCATCCTGAAAGGAAGGGACCTATCTCCTAAAGGACGTGGAAAGAGGAGAGCTAACACTCCACCTACCAAGACCGCGTCAAAGAGGAAACGTTCCCCAACTCCATCCACCACATCGGTATCGAACATGCTGTGGCTTAGTACCTTTGAGTCGGCAGCGATTTCCAGTACCATCAGAGCCGCAGACACTAAGCAGGCAGGCTCTAAGAAGGAGGGCAGACAGAAGACCACCTTGGCACCGTTAGCACAGACAAAGCGCTCAGTACCAAGCAATTTTTCAGTACAAAAGGCAATAGCGCCACCTGCTGGCCCTATGTTCAGTAGCACAGACACTGCACCGCAGATTGCCACGCGATCCTCAGCATGCTTGCTGTCGGCTCCTTTCCTACTGGTACCACAAGGTCCCCTGGTACTCCCACTATTCTCTGTACCACCTTGCACACAGGTACCGTCATCGGTACCACAGCCTCAAGAGTTTCTTGCTCCGAAGGACCTGACAATTGCCCCAGTACCAGAATCATCTCTCCTCAGTACCGATACTTCTTCGGTACTTTTGCTACCACTCACTCCACCAATTACAGCCGCTCCTCCTTTCTCTAGCGAGGAGGATGAAGATGAAGAAGATGGGAAGTTTTCTCCTCCCAACACTCTTCACTTATGCAAGGAAGTGTTCAATCCGCACATCAGGAACGCCCTTAGCCTCTGCCAAGGTCTGAATTTCACGGGTGGTATGCTTACCCCTGGAAGCCCCCACCTATGCCCTTCCCATTTCAGTGGGCATTCTGGGACCCATGGGCAGCTTATAGACCGTTTTACCCCAGATCCCTAAGTGGCACCACAGAGGTACATAGGCACTCTTCACCACAGTCTACAGTGCCACCAGCTGCCCCTCCCAAACAGAGCGTTGAGGAAAGGGAAGACGTTTTAGTTCAGGAGGCAGCTCCTGCCACCTGCACTTCATTGTCACTGGGTGAGACTATTATGCCCCTTACGCCTACCGCTGGAGATGATTTCAGGAATTTCCAGGAGCTCTTCAAAAGAATAGCAGAGACACTCCAGATAACCCTAGAGGAGATCTCCAAGTCGCGTCACAAGCGCTTGGATATACTTCACACGTCATTTGCTCCAACATTGCCCTTCAGATTAACTCAGCAATCATGGAACCTGCCACAAACATCTGGCAGACCCCTGCTATCATCCCACCCACATGTAAGAGAGCGGACAAACAATATTACATCCCTTCAGAAGGGATGGAATCTCTATTCACACGCCCTCAGACAAATTTATTGGTAATTGATGCAGTCAACAAACGGGGCAAACAGCATTACTCTAGAACCACCCCTTATGATAAAGAGGGGAAAAGATTGGACTTACTCAGCCACAAGGCCTATTCATCAGCAACACTGCACTTCCGGATCGCTGATTATGAAGTACTTATGGCGAATTATGACCATACAAACTATTCCAAATTTTCTGACTTTATTGACTACATACGAGAGGACAAAAGAGAACAGTTTACATCGCTCATTTCCGCTCTTGGCTAGAATTGCCCTCCAAGCCTCTTTGGACTCTACTGACACGGCGGCAAGGACCATCGTACACACAGCAGCCAAGACAATACAATAACCAGAGGCGTAGATAGAGACCATCCAGACACAGACTAAGCTCCTCCCAACCCACCACATCTCAACAGTCAACCTCTAAACAGCAGATTTGAAGGCTTGGTCAAGGGCTTACCAGACCTCCCCCCAACTTTTGCTGCCAACACTACCTCCCACCAACCATCCCTTTTACCAATTGTCTAATACCGTTCTATCCAAAACGGCAAACCATCACTTCCGATAGATGGGTACTGGAAATCATCAAGCCTGGCTATGCCCTCCAGTTCCTCTCCATCCCTCCTACTCACCCTCCCATCCTGTCCCTCTTCAGGTACCCCTCTCACGAGCCTTTCCTGAGACAGGAAGAGGAGCATCTCCTACAACTGGGCGCAGTAGATAGTTCTGGTACATCACAGAGGGAAGGGCTTCTACCTGTCAGGAATGGTCACCTGTCAGGAATGGTCTAGATAATACTTAATCCTGCCACAAGTGCAGTGGACTGGACTAGACCTCTCGAGGTCTCTTCCAGTTCTATGATTCTATTCTCATTATTTTTTAACCCGAAAGAAGTCTGGAGGATGGAGACCCATCCTCGATCTCAGGAAGCTAAACAAATTCGTCAGAACACAACATTCAGGATAGTTATGTTAGCTACAATCATTCCAGCACTGGAACAAGGGGATTGGTTTGCAGCCCTCAACCTGAAAGATGCATATTTTCCCATTTCTATACGCCCTATGCACAGGAAATTTCTTCGGTTTGTACTAGGACAGGTCCATTTCCAATATATAATGCTACCCTTTGGCCTCTCCATGGCCCCCTGAGTATTTTCCAAAGTCCTTGCTGTGGCGGCAGCCCACCTTCTCAAGCACGGGGTCATGATCTACCCCTACTTAGACGACTGTCTAATCAAGGCTCACACTTGGGCAGAAGCCATCACAGTCACGCACCAGACAATGTCACTCTTCACCAGTCTCAGCCTACAAATAAACGTCCAAAATTCCACATTAACGCCAGTCCAGAAGCTAGATTTAATCGGCGCGCATCTAAATTCTCTAGAAGCAACAGCATCATTACCTCTTCAGAGATTCACCGCTCTAACGAACCTCATCAATACCTTGGTGCACAGCCCAAGGATATTGGCCAGGACCTGTCTTCAGCTACTAGATCACATGGCAGTGACCACATACGTGGTGAAACATGCCAGAATTCACATGCGCTCTTGCAGTGTTGGCTCAAGATGGTATTCACACCACACAAACACAATTTGAACAGACTTCTGAGTATGCCAATGAAGGTCAAGGACTCACTACAATGGTGGACTCACCCACACAACATCTGCGCAGGTGTCTTTCCTTCAGCCTCCTCCCGAATTGATAATCACAACGGATGCCTCTCTACTGGGGTGGGGTGCCCAACTAGGCAAGCTCACAGTACAGGGAAGATGGTCTCCTTCCTAATCAACACTCCACATCAATGTACTGGAATTACGCGCAATTCGCAATACCTGTGCACATTTCATGCTTCTGATCAAAGACAAAAACATACAGATCATGATGGACAATGTAGCCTGCATGTTCTACATAAATAAACAGGGAGGAGTAAGATCACACTCCCTATGTATGGAGGCCATAAAACTCTAGACATGGTGCATACAACACAAAGTCACCATATCAGCCACCTACCTGCCGGAGTCTCAGAATATCACAGCCAACACATTAAGTCGAAGGTTCTCGAATGACCATGAGTGGGCAATCAACACCTGCGTGATCCAGATCACATTTCAACTATGGGGGTTCCCCGCGATAGACCTATTCGCCACAAAACGAAACAGCAAATGTCCAGTCCCAGAGTGGGTCTGGGATCAGGTGACACACTTTTCATTCCGTGGCATGTATCCCTCCTGTATGCTTTTCCTCCCATCCCATTGCTGTCCAGCATCCTGAACAAGATCAGAATCGATCATGCAAAAGTCATCCTGATGGCACCAGTATGACCCAGACAAACCTGGTACCCATACCTGAAACAGATGTTGTCATGCCACCGTGTCTCCTTCCACTTCTTCCAAATCTCTTCTCTTAGGATGCGGGTCAGACTCTGCATCCAAACCTGGAGTCGCCCCATCTCATATCCTGGCTCCTCAATAGTTCCATGGCAAGGAGATAACTTGTTCTGAGGATGTTAAAGACATCCTACTAAACAGAAGGCGGCCCACTGCACGGGCTACATACCTACATAAATGGAAGAGATTCCACATGTGGTGCCTAAACAAACAAATGGACGCCACCACCTCTCCCATACCAGTGGTAATGGACTACATGCTGTACCTGAAGAAATCTGGCCTTTTAGTTAGTTCCCTGCAGGTGCATTTGGCAGCCATTACAACATTCCATGATGAAGTGGACAGCGTTTCAGTCTTTGCTCACCCAATTACCAAAAGATTCCTCCAGGGAATGTGCAGCCTCTACCCAGAACTCAGAGCCCCAACGCCCCCATAGGATCTGACTTTAGTGCTTCGATCTCTCACAATTGCCCTATTCAAACCCTTGGCCACATGTTCTCTTCTACACCTTTCCATGAAGGTGGCCTTCATAGTCACCATCGCATGGGAGAAATTTCTGCTCTTATGGCTGGACCACCCTATATGTTTTGTTTTGGTTTTTTTCAAAAACAAGGTCACTCTGACCTCACCCCAAATTTTTGCCTAAAGTCCTTTCTTCCTATCAATCAGCCTATCCATCTTCTCATGCTCTTCCCTAAACCTCACAAGGACAGGCAAGAAGCGATTTTCCACACCCTGGACATTAGAAGGGCGCTTGCCTTTTATCTTGAACAGACCAAATCATTCAGGAAAACTCCTAAATTGTTCCTCTCCACCTCGGACTGCTCCAAAGGCAAACCCATCTCTAAGCAGAGACTTTCCAGATGGATTTCAGATTGCATTCAGCTCTGTTAATGACAACATGACCTACAATCCCCCTCAAGGTTAGAACACACTCCACAAGATAAGTAGCCACATCGGTTGCCTTCCTGCACGATGTGCCTATTACCGACATATGCAATGCAGCTACTTGGACATCTCCTTACACATTCATTCAACACTACATCATCGATCAGGTCTCAGCCTCTGACACTCGGCTGGGACACACCGTCTTATTATCCATTCAGACCTAGCTCCGAATTCCCTCTTTTCCCCTGAGGGGAACTGCTCTACTGTCACCTAAAGTGGCGCACCCACAGGGATTCCACTCGAAGAAGAGAGGGTTACTCACCTTGTGCAGTAACAGGTTCTTTGAGATGGTTGTCCTTGTGAGTGTTCCACTACCCATCCTCCTCCCCTCTACTTCGGAGTTCCAATTAATTCCTCTGCGGTAGAGAAGGAACTGGGGGGTTGGGAGCTGCACAGCACTAGTTAATTGCCGCTGCAGGCACAAGACGGGGAGAGTGCATGTGCGGCCCAGCCAAGATTTTTGTCAAAATTCTCCGACTAGAGGCGCAGGGCGCACAATCACCTAAAGTGGAGCTCTCACGGGGATTCACATCTCAAAGAACCTCAGTTCCTGCCCAAGGTGAGTAACCCTCTCTTACATCTGAATATTTGTTATCCCCTTTCCACAGATGTGAAACAGTTTTAAAAATATATCAAAAATTAATACAGATCTAATTTTTTGTTGCCTGCTATACAGATGACAGTAAAGAAAACACTGTCCAATTTCCGGAGGACACACCATGACAACTGGCAGGAGCACAAACAGCAGTTCACTGATGACCAGCTGCTTGTCCTTACAGACCTCTTAGTATCACCATGCTATTATGCCTAAATAGGTAAGGCTGTGTTTATTTTGGTTTATTTAGAAAACATTGCCATTTTATGATATCCACTCTAGCCATCCAGTCAAAGTGAAGGAAAAGGTCCTAGATCCAGGGAAAAGCGTTCCCTCCAAACAAAGTCACTATCAATGCTCAGTGGGGTATCTTCTGTTGGTTGAAAACTCCGCTTTTAGTGACCTGCTGTTTATCTTTATTGTGTATTCCCTTATTTTTGTTTGAATAAAGTAAACTAAAAGGCTAGGACTTCAGAAGAAAAGAAGTTCTATCAACACTCCCTTTGCTCCCAAACTTTCTCAGCCCATAAACTGCCCTCTGCATTTCTGTCAGAGGAGCATCACTAGAGAGACACAAGGTACCTTGAGACTGAGCATACCACATTCACGGTGTTCCTGGTCCTTGTTGATCTGCAGAACAAGGAATCAGACTTGAATTTGAACCCTGATCTCTTGCAGGGGAATGCTATGTGTTGTGACGTGACTGGACCACTATGTCAGCCTGCAAGGGAATTTTTTAATCATCATTTTCTGTAGTATCATGAGAACATGGATGAAGATATAATCTTGTTTTTAATTATTTCTATTTCAGGTTCTTCTTGGAAAAAATGAGGACCTAGAAACATTTCTGCAAAAATAAAGGAAACTCAAAACTAATTTATTGTGTATGGAACTTTTAGTCTTGGAAATCGTGATGCCTAATCAAAACCATTTTTTAAATACAAATATTAGGTCCTAACAGAGCTCTATTCATCACGAATTACAACTCCACAGGGAGTAGCTATGGGAGCCCTGCGTTCTTCCATTACTGCATCTGCGGAGCCAGATCATTACTTGTTTCAAAGCATAATGTCATGGGCCTGCATTATACAACCTTACCACCTTCACTCTCTACTCACTGGCTTACACCACCCATCTCTTCCCATCTCCTCCTTTTTCTTTCTTATTCCATGTGCCCAGTCATTTTTTACATCAGTGGATTTGCAGCGCACACACGACTGCAAGTCTGAACATTCTAAGGGAAGTGCTCCAGTTTTGGTTGACATTTTTTATCTGATCAACCTGCAGGAGCTGGTACCTATGAACCTCAAACCCACCTACTCCCATGACAAGAGGCCAGGAACCTATTTTTCCTCAAAGGATTTTTTTTCACTGCTTGCATTCAAGTACCCGTTAGGTGACAAACTCTGTACCATTTAATCCAGCTGAGAGTTTAAAAGACTACCCTTTTAAATCTTACCTTCTATGGAAATGTAAATATCCATTCTGTCCTCTGCAGCTGAGATCAGTACTATGGAAAGTGGGGCAATTTCCATGGTCTGGCCAAGTTTTAGCAGGTAATCTGACCAGGTGCACAACTTAAACCCATGACCATCTGCAGCTTCCTAAGGGTGGAAGGCTGTGGATCTTTTCAGATGAATAGAGCCCATAGATATTAATTTTTTGCTATCAAGCAATGTTTTAATTCAGAGACTGAAGAGTATGTACAGTGTGTAAAAGCACTGAACTTTTTTAACAGCATTTTCTTATTTAAAAAGACTATTAGTCGCTATTTGGAGAAGCATACCTTGCTTAAATGGAAGACTGCTAAGATTGTGAAAGTTCTGTTTTTGGTTTTGGTTTTTTGCCTGCAACTTTGTTCAGAGACTGATATCTATTGGCTATTTAACGACATGTTTAATATGTGTTACATAGATGTAAAAGACTGTATAAATTGTAGAGGCATTGCTTTGGGAAGACATTGTACAGTTTGCAACCTTTTACATAACATCATTGTGAGATTAATTTGTAAAAATTCACTCTTCAATGTTAATACTGTAGTGCTTCTGGCTTTTGTATCAAATCAAATGCCATTAGTGTTTTTTAAATTATTTTCTTTAGCAAAATATCGTTCCTTGTTTAAAAGGCAGAAATTTTATTTTGTTTTAGTTTTCATTTATCTCATGACTACATCTGATGAAGATTTTAATGCAACATTTGTGGCCATCTCTAAATGCTAACATCACATGTTTTGATGTGATAAGATTACAGAATGCAAGGTACCTCCTACAATGAAATAGTTCACAAGTTGCTGTGTTTCATCTTTCACACAACCTGTACAGTCTTCCTTACAGGAACACTACAATACATTTTGAAATATCTACCTGCTGATTGAGTGACTCAATACAATTTTAAAGCACAGCAGTGTTCCTAGTACAGTATTTACTAAGTGTCAGCACACAGATGTAACCACTGTATAGCGTAGTGCCAAAATTATTTCAATTGTGTACCTAGTTTAAAACCCAATAAATGGATTGTTTGTAACATCTGCATTTTTTGTCTTTCTTGAGCAGAAGTTCACTACTTTCAGAGTCTAATTTAGGATTGTCTACTCCAATTTCTATGGGGTTTTTGTATCAGATCTGTATGCATTGTGGAATTCAACTGAATTCAGGTTTTTTATGTAGTGAGCCTGTGGGTTGCCATTTTAAAATTTTGTGTATAAACAATAGTCTCTTTACCCATCACTGAAATGCACTACCTCAGGGATAGAACATAGCATCTGTTCTAACATCACACAGCATCACTGTTAAAGACAGCAAGTGAATAATACTGCATTCATTTCAAATGTGGGTATAATTTTAAGTGGGCACAAGGTAATCACACAAATGGAAGTTGGTCAAGATACTGAGATCAACACCATTCTATTGAGAAAAGTTCTTTAGGAATACTTAACCACAGGTGGACACAACCTGTTTTATGACATTTCCTGGAAATAACATCTCAACATCAAATTTCCCTTAATACCTTACTTGAGATATTCAATCGGTACTGCTGCAGAGGGAAGAATGCCACTTGTTGAATGACCAGTCCCTACTCCAGTAGGACCTTAGGTTTTCTTTTCTCCTTGCATTGATGTGCTAATGATGCCTGATCCTCCTTAGCTTGTGAATTCTGATGAGACGAGGGCCAAAGGCTTTACCTTCACAACAGTGAATTCACTAGTCAGACAGCTGTCTAAAGTCAAAGAAATTCAGATCTCTCCAGTAGCATAAAAATTAACTTTGAAAGCACTAAAGATTGTAGAAAGCACATGTAATAAGCTAGGTTATTTAAAGGACAACACCTTAGCTGAGAATTGATGTAGGAAAGCAGCGAGCTCTGCTATGCCCCCTATGCTGGGTTTAGGGCAATTGACATAGGAGCCAGACCCACCAGCTTTACATCAGTTCCCATTCTCAGATGGAAAACTGTAGCCAGATTATGGAACTGGGATAAAAAGGGAGCTGAGAATATGACCCTGTGCTTCAAAGATAATAGTAACGGTATTGTGGCTAATAAGCAACTAGCACTCGCCATCATAGGTGAGCTCTGCAAATCCGTGGTAAATTGCTCAACTTGAAAATTCCTTGGGATAAAAACGTACTTGTGATTGTGCAAACAAATTTGTCTTTTAACTATTTCTTCCATGGCTCAGATTAATTTTGTTCTGTCCTAGGCTTGGGGCATGATATGTGTAGTACAAAGAGAGCCTAAAACATGCGGCCTGAACTACAGTAGTGGTCAAGCCTTGCTGGTATAGAGCAATTAGCTAAAGTCAGATTGTGAGCAGAAGTCAGACCCTGTTACAAAACAAGCCTGCTTGCAAGTTCACAGAACCTGGCAAGAACAGGGCTGGAATTGCAAAAACAAAGACATTCCTAAAAAGTACTAGGCACAGGACACTCATGCAAATACATTCCAGAAGGATAGTACCAGAACACCCTAATACAAGGTTATGGTGTAAACACACTTCCGGAAGATGATACAAGGATACACTGACCCCTCTTAAAGATAAAGTCAGGGTAACAGGGTGATGGATAGAGATGTTTTGATCAAACCAACGTATACAAGGTAAAAGGTGGTAACTAATTATGTCAGAGGGGCAATACATAACTTGGTAGTATCAGTGTATAAAGAGAGATCTCAGTGGGGGTGTCTTTGGCTGGCCAAGGGGGGAATAGAAAGTCCTGCCATTCACTGAGCTGGTCCATTGTAATAGGCATACATGTCTTAGTGGTTCTATAGCATCTATAGGACCGTGCTTTGTTGACAATAAACCTGGCCAGGCACCTTCGCTACTGAAACAGGTCTGTGATCTTTGTGGGAAGTTTGATCAAGGTCAGCTGTGTCGGCTATCTGCGCAGAGCTGGGACAGCACACACAAAGAACACACACACGCAGCCAATGATTAACTACAATATGTTTTGCCAAAACATTAGATTATGGAACCATTTCATGGGGTACCATCTTTGTTCATTGCTAAAATTTTCTTTTGTGGCTTCCCTCAAGCAACATAAAGAAGATTAGGGTTGGAAGCGACCTCAGGAAGTCATCTAGTCCAACTCCTTGCTCAAAGCAGGACCAACTGCAACTAGATTGGTCCTGCTTTGAGCAAGGGGTTGGACTAGATGACCTCCTGAGGTCCCTTCCAACCCTGATATTCTATGATTCTATGATAAATAAGATATTCCAAAGCTAATAATCACCAACATATTTCTAACTAGCTTCCACCAATTTCAGCCATATAATATTATTTTGAATCCCAACATATCCCCCAGTCTGAGACATTTAGGTTGTGCCTCTTCTCTCAGATACTGGAGGCAGTTCACTTGTTTGTGGGGTATGGCCCTTCTGCACTTAAGCCAGATTCTGAGTGATTGTTTCAGGGCTCCCACCTTATCATTGCCATTCTAGTTTTTAAAGCTGATTGTTCAGGCAGTAGCAAGCAACGTCTTTTCACCTGGTCTCTGCTCTCCCTTAGGGGACAGAAGTTTCTTGGGTTTTGCTCTCCAGAGTACCTTCTATGTCTCCTCCCAACCATGGTGGAGCATGCTAAACAGAGCAAGCAGTAATCTGAATTGCTCCATCTGCAAGGAGACCCTCTCAGGATCTGCAGCAGAGGTTCTCTGCCACAACTGCTCCCTGCCTGCCCTGACTTGAACATCCCAGCTGAGGTGGATTCTTCCCCCAAAACCCCACAGTAAAGAAGATAAAAGGGACTTTGAAGTGGACTCTAAAGCCTCCCTGGCAACCACGTTTCACTACAGCCACATTGTTCTGACGCAATGAGACAAAAGCCTCCACATCTGCAATCATGTCAAATTCATATAAACAATTTCTCTCTGAAGTCTGTGATAGACTCTATGATGCAGCCAGTGAGAGAGCCATGGAAGTTAGAGTACCAGGCACCAACTCTATCTTAAACTTTGGACAGTGACTCTCGTTACTTGACAGCAATTCCTCTGTGCCTCAGAATTCTCTGGCTGAATCCTTTTTGGGGAAGAGCTCATAGACTTTAAGGCCAGAAGGGACCCTCATGATCTAATCTGACCTCCTGCACATTGCAGCCCACAGAACCTCACCCACGCAGCTCTATCGGGCAGCCGAAAACACAGACAAGCCAAGGTATTTATGCCACCCTCTGGCAGAATTCAAGGACTACAAGCCCTTGTGCACAGGCAGGAGCTCCTTTCATCACTACCCACAGAAAAGGTACCAGAGAAGGGATTTCTCTTATTTCAGGGATAAGATCTGAAGCAACAGGGGAGCCCTGGTCAAGGAATAGGTCCTACTTTCCCCTCAATATGAATGCACCTGGGCCCTTTGTTCAGAAATAGGCCTGGGAGGCCCACTACTCATCTGCCTAGTTCTGTTCAACTTCAGGCAGGTGGATACTGGACACACTGCAGCATGTTATTCTCTGGAGCACCAATCTCCTTCATAGTCTACTCAGCGTCAAGGGATGTTGCCAAATTTCAAACTATACTACCAGAGATAGCGCACCACTTAGACCGAGAAGTAAGAGAAGCTGTCTCTGTCTGTCTGAAGAGAGATCCTCAGGACTCTGCCCAGCTTTTTTCTTACTATAAATAAACTGAAGTAGAGTTTGGGCCATGTTAAACTTCAAGAGGCTGAACAGTTCAATGACGATGACAGAACTTAGGATCGAAATAACATTTATAGTTTCAGCAATATGGCCAAGGGAGCTGCTCATGTCAGTGGATTTTTCTAATGCAGACCCAGATTTTTCTCATGTACTTTTCCCCTATATCCCTTTTCTCCAGGTGCAATTGGTCATTGTTTTGCTTATGTAGGTTCCAAATTAACTCAGCCTGGTTCTACTGCGCCTCTGATAGAATCCCAGTTTATTTAAACTTCTGTAATAATCTTTTCATAGCAGTTTATCAATTTTAAAAAAAACTTCCCTCTCCCCTTTTCGTAATATAATCTATGGAGATATACCTATTCTTAACAGGGAGGGATAGCTCAGTGGTTTGAGCATTGGCCTGCTAAACTCAGGGTTATGAGTTCAGTCCTTGAGGGGGCCATTTAGGGATCTGGGGCAAAAAAAATAGTTGGGGAGTGGTCCTGCTTTGAGCAGGGGGTTGGACTAGATGACCTCCTGATGTCCCTTCCAACCCTGATATTCTGTGATTCTAATTTCATTCTACAAGTGGTGAGCTAATTTATCTTCACTTTCATTTATATTTTTCAGCACCAGTCTAGAGCTCTTTTAGTAAAGTTGTGAAACACTCACACTCTGTTATAAAGAGGAATGGTATTTAAAATTATTTTAAAAAATAATACCCAGCCTTGTGCCGAAAATATTCACAGGACTTGGCCTTGCATTGGAAAAGCTGCCTTGGGGATCGAGTTTCTTAGGCCTGGTCTACACTAGGCGTTTATGTCGACTTTAGCGCCGTTACATCGAATTAACCCTGCACCCATCCACACCACAAGGCCATTTAGTTCGACATAGAGCTCTCTTTAAATCGATTTCTGTAATCCTCCCCAACGAGGGGAGTAGCGCTAAATTCGACATGGCCATGTCGAATTAGGCTAGGTGTGGATGGAAATCGACGCTAATAGCTCCGGGAGCTATCCCACAGTGCAACACTCTGTTGACGCTCTGGACAGCAGTCCGAGCTCGGATGCTCTGACCAGCCACACCCCGGGAAAATTTGAATTCCTTTTCCTGTCTGGGCAGTTTGAATCGCAGTTTCTGTTTGGACACCGTGGCGAGCTCAGCAGCAGTGGCAAAGATGCAGAGCTCTCCAGCAGAGATGGCCGTGCAATCCCAGACTAGAAAGAGGGCCCCAGCATGGACTGATTGGGAAGTCTTGGATCTCATCGCTGTGTGGGGAGATGAGTCCGTGCTTGCCGAGCTGCGCTCCAAAAGACGGAATGCAAAGATCTACGAGAAGATCTCTAAAGCCATGGCAGAGAGAGGATACAGCCGGGATGCAACGCAGTGCCGCGTGAAAATCAAGGAGCTGAGACAAGGCT